CGCCCCCTTGCTCTTTTTGCGCGGCCGGTACTTGTAGTCCGGGTAATCCGCCATGTGCTTGAGGCGCAGCCGCTCCGCCTCCCGCACGAACGGGATCTTCTCCGAGTCCTGCAGCAGCTGCCATCGGCGGCCCAGGCGCTTGGAGATCTCGGCGTTGTGCATGTCAGGCCACTGGTCCATGATCTTCCGCCGTTCGTGCTGCGACCACACCATGAACGCGTTCATCGGCCTCTTGATGTGGCCACTCGGGGTCTTGCACCAGCCGGGCTCGCGCGCCCCCTCCTCGGTAGTCCCGGGCCCCGGGGGCGGCGGCCCGCCGTTCCGCTTGGCCCTCGCGCCCCGTTGCTGCACCATCGCGCCTGGGCCCGGGGCCGCTAGACGCCGCCAGGGGCCGTCAGCATCCTCCGCGGCTGGGGGTGGGGGAGGAGGCAGCGGCGACGGAGGAGCGGCCCCGCCCCGCAGCTCGGCCCGGCCCCCACGAGCAGGGGAGCGAGGAGCTGGGAGCGAGGAGCTGGGCGCTCCGGCCCAACGGACGGCGGGGGGAGGTCAGCGGCTCGGGCTCAGGCGGGCTCGGCGCGCCCCCGCCGCCTCCGGCAAGTTGCGCCCCGCTGAGCGCCACACATTGTTTTGCGGGGGCGGAGGAATCGCTGGCCCCGGGGCGCCGCGGGACCTCCGTGCAGCCGCCTTCACCGCCGCGGCCCGCGCACGCCGCTCCCCGCCCCACCGCTTTCCAGTGTCTTTCTCCCCGCGCGGCCCCGCCGGCGCGCGCGCCACCCCTCCCCCTCGCCGTCTGCGGGCCGATGCGGCGCGCGCGGGGCCGCCCCGAGTAAACACCGAGGTGCCCGCTTGGGCTGCGGCCGGGCAACGCCTCGCGCTCGGGTGGCGCGTCACCGGTTGCTGGGCAGAGAACCCGGTATTTGCATCTCCCAATCGCTGGCCGCCAGGGTGGGGCGGGGCTCGGCTCAGGCTGCGGGGTTGGGCGGTCTCGCTGCCGGGATAGGGGGAGACGGATGAGGTCGTTTTCTTTTCTTAGGCTGGGGGCTGGGGGCTGGAGGGAGGGTGGGCCGAACGCCAAGCGTGCTTCCCATCTGGTTCTCAAAGCTTGTCCCCGCCCCGCATTGCCTTTGAAATTTTAGCTTGTTCAGTTGATACTTGCCGGCAGGTAGGACCTCTGCCCCCTCCCCTTTTGGGGACGTCTTCTCAGACCGTCCCAGAGCGGAATTTGGGAGCAGGGGGACAAGGCTCAGGATATGGTCTCCACAAGGGCCTTAAGGGGACAGAATTATCTTGTTCATAAATGTAGCCCCGCTCAGTGCACAGGGCCCGCTACATATGGGTTCAACAAATGCTTTTGGACCCAATGAACGAATCCCTTTCATATTTTCTTATCTCTTTTGAGGGGCCACAAGAATCCTGAGAAAGAAGAGAATTTGACGCCCACTTTCCAAAGACGGAACACCGAAGACGCAGACTTCGGTCCGAGCCCTCTCTCCCCGACTCAATGAACGAAGGAGCTGGGCACCTCTCCGGCCAGCTGAGCGTTATGAGAACTGCATTCCCGCTTTTCACGGTTCTTGGGCCAAGCCTTAGGTTAGAGGATGCATGGGTGCTCTATTCCCAGGCGCCATCCCATCCGGCGGCCAGCCTGGGGGCCACTTGGGCACCCGCTTGGGCGCGCCCCGCCTCCCCCGGCCGGGAGAAACGTGCGCGGGCACGGGGGCGGAGCCAGCCAAAGGGCGTGGCCAGAACGGAGGCGCGTGGCAGGGAGGGGGCGCGCATTGCGTGTTTCCCACGTGTGAGCCCGCTTGGGTACCGCGGGGCGGGTGCCGCCCTAGGGGGAGGTCACCTTCATGGCGCGGTGGGCCCTGTTGATGGGAGGGGGCGCTGCGACCTTGCCCTTCGGGATCTGAAGCTGGGAACGATCGGGATTAGAGTTTCGAAGGTGGCAGTACGCTGGGGCTCAGCGGGCACGGTCCGGGACCGGGGAGTACTCGGGGAGGGCGGAGGTGCGGCTCTGCGGACGCGGGGTGCTGATCTAGATGCCTGGAAGGGTAATTGGAGCATCCTGGGCGGGAGAGGACGACTTTTAAAGGCACAGGGCTCTTGGAAGAAGGCGAAGGTCCTCCTCCCTTTTCCTCGACCGATTTATTGGACGCTGAGACCTGGAGATCTCTCAGTTCGAACCTTCACTCACACCTGCAGCCTGGCTAGCCGAATAGCTTAGGGATTTAGTGCCAGTAGAGTCAAATTTCCTGTGTTCATATCCCGGTTCTTCTTTTCGGTTATCCTTAAAATGGGGATAATGTAGTCTTTCCCTCCTAGGTGGTTTTACAGATTATATGGGATAATGGATGTAAACACATGCCTGACACCTAGTAAATGCTCAGTATTAGTTATCTGGGACTAGATTTCGCAGTGAGTACTCAGGGCATCAACAACATAGAGGCGGAAACAAAATTAGAAAAAAAATTTACGGGACCTGGTGTGGATTTGACATTTCAAAAAAGGTATCAAAATAGTGATCATGGGGGAAAAAAACTTTCTGAATTTTCCATCATTTTTACACATTTCCCATTTCATATTTGTTTTATTTTAGATGACATGATGGGCATTTTCATCTTTTCTGCGCTTAGGGCCTTTCAAAGGTCTTATTTTCTGTAGCTGCTGGTTAACCGTAGTACCATCATCATCTGAATTCCAAAGTACCTGAATAGTCCTAAGTATTCACTGCCAGCTTGGCTCATTTGGAATAGAGTGTCACTCTGTTCTCAAGAAGGAAAAATATCCATCCATTATCCCATCACTTCTCTCTCCCACCTTTTCTCCTTCCATCCATTCATTCAACAAACATTAACACTATTTCCCAGGTCCTGTGATGGGTGCTGAGAAGAGAGATGATTAAATGCAGAGTCTGGGTCCTCAAAGGACCCACCTAAGGACTCCTCCAGGACACATTAAAGACAGCAAGATAGGGTCCCTCAATTATCTCAGTTGAGGGAGACAACATCTTCGCTTTTTTCTTTTTTTTAACACATTTATTCTATGTATGATCTGTTGTAAAGTAATCGCATGGAAGAGAGGACATTTAATTCAATAAATATTTACTGGGCACCTACAGTGTACCAGGCACTGAGCTTGAAACTGGGTTTATGGGGTTAAACAGCAGTGACCAAGTCAGACAAGGTCCCTGCTCTCAAGGAATAATTGTTAGATGCTGCTGAGTCAATTTCAACTCATAGTGCCCCCGTGTGACAGAGTAGAACTGCCCCCATAGGGTTTTCTAGCAGATCTACAGGTCTTTATCCCAAGGAGCAGCTGGGTGGGTTCGAATCGCCAATCTTCAAGTTAGCAGCCCAGTACTTAACCAGGGCTCCTTAATGTACAATAAGGGCAACAGACAACAGTGACTAAACAAATAAGGTAATTTCAGGTCATTGTGCTAAGAAGAAGATAAAACAATGTAATTGGTGACTGGGTAATGGGTGAGTGACTGGGACAGAGGGGATGATGGGGATGGGGGGTGAGTTTAGGTCACATGGTGGTGAGAAAGAGCCATCCATGCACAGATCTGGGGAAAGAGTATTCCAGGCAAAGGAAATGGTGGGGTGGGGTGTTGAGAGAGATTCAGAGAATGGGGAGGTTCTAAAACCAGAGAGTGTGGAGTATACATGAGGAACAGGATGGATTTATGTGAAGCTGGAGCTGGAGGGCAAAATGGTGTTTGGGCCTTAGAAGCCAGTTTAAGGAGGTCCCTGGGCTGTGGGCAGCTAGGGAAGGTTTCTGAGCTGGAGGGTAACATGATCAGAGTTGTGCTTTAGGAAGATTAAGGGATTTCATCTGTTGTGGATGGATCAGAGAAGGGGAATTTGGAGGCAGGAAAACCAGCCAAAAAGTTTGTGGTGTTTTTTTAAATATGTTCACAAATTCTTTGATACTCCCCGCTTCAAAAGGAGGAGCCCAATTCCTCCCCCTTCCCCTTTAAGTGTGGACTATATTGAGTGACTTGCTTCTAACTAATAGAATGTTGCAGAAGTGATGGGATGGTGTGTTACACATGAAATTACATTCTTCAAGTTATACAACCGTTCTCACTGTCCTTTTCCAAATCATACCACCACCATTAACATAACCTCAGTGCCCCCTAAGCAGAAACTCCCCCTTTTCTCCTTCCTCCCACCCCTGGTAACCATTACTGATCTTTGGTTTCTTTGTATTTGTTTCCGTCATGTAAGTGAGTTCATACACAACAATCCCTCCCATCTTGCATGCCCTTTTGCAATGTGTCCTTGTCACTTCTCCCATCAAGAGGAACAGCTCTCTTTCCCCTCCATTAGAAGCTAGGCTGGTTTTGTTATTTGCATTGACCAAAAAAATACGATGGAAGTGATATTGTGTGACTTCATGTTAGACCTTAAGGGACTTTTGCAGCTTCCAGTTTTGCCCACTTGGAAGCCAGCTGCCAGGTAAAGCCCAGGCTAGACTTCTAAGTGTTGAGAGACCACATGGAAAGAGAGAGGCTACACGGAGGAGAACTGTGTACTTAGCACATTCTGAAAGTATTTTGTTTACTTGTTTTTTTGCCTATCTCCTCTCCACTGGCATGTGAACTCCAAGAGGGCAGAGCTTTTTGCCTGTTTTGTTCATTGCTCTATCCCTAGGAGAGTGCCTGGCATACAGTAGGTGCTTAACAAGTATTCACTGAATGAATCAAAATCAGTGGTCTATCAAGAGTGCACTCCAATTCCTACGGGAGCCCAGAGAAGGAAGTGAAAATTTGAAAAACAAAACCCCAAACTCCAGTTTGCCACTGTTTTCAGTATATACAAATGACCCTGAGTCCTTCCAAACGGGTGCTCCAGAATCTATACCCTGCAGACCACATGAGTTCAATACCACTGAACTGTTCAAACTAGACTGCAGCGGGTGGACATTGAGGTTCCTGGATACTGATACTGACCACCCCACAGGTCCGGGCCACCATCATCTCTCAGCTGGGCACTTGCCCGGTCTCCTTAGGGTTCCCTGTGTACCTACCAGGTCTCCTTCCGTTCCATTCTCCTTCCTGAAGCCAGAGGGATGGTATTTTGCAATCATAAACCCAGCTGTTTCTCTTTCCTTCTTAAAACTCTTCAGTGGTTCCCCATTTGCTCTTAGGATAAACATCAGGTCCTCACCTGGGCCCACTAGGTCTTGCATGGTCTGGTCTCTCCGTACCTTTCCCACACCAGCCTCTTTTCAGTTTGTGGAATGAGCACCACGGCCCCCCCCCACAGGATCTTAGTCCATTTCCTTGCTCTTTTCAGCACTCCTGCCTCTGTTTGCCTCCTAAATGCTCTCCTAACTCCATGGTTTAT